CCCCCGCAGCCCGAGGCCTTGAAGCCCTTGGTCCAGCTCAGCAGGATGCCCTGGGGGGTCAGAGTCCAGTGTCAACCGGTGTGACGTAGTGGGGGTACTTGCTGGGCTGTGGTGACCCCTGCTGTCTGGAGCAAGACCCAGCAGGGAAAACCTGGCTAGGCAGAGATAAGGCCAAACTGGTTGAACCAGTGGCCAGACACCCCCCATGGAGAGGAACAAAGGAAGGTGGAATGCTGCCCTGACTGCGGGGGCAGGGCTGGAGGGGAATTTAGTTAGACTGTGGAAGAGCATGGAGGAGAGCCTAGGGGAAGGGGCTGGAGTTTAGGGGCCCAGTCTCCCCCATCTCAAGGGGGCCTGAGGCATCCTAGCCCAGTTCCTGTAACCAGATTACATCTGTGCTGCGCTGTGCTGGAGGAGCAATAAACCACCCTCAATTCCACTGGCTGGTGCAGTCTGTTTGTGCCATTTCGGGGTGCAGGAGACGGGGAACCCCCAACGCGCCGTCACAGAAGTCAACTGTCTTTCACTGAAAAGGACAGCACAGACGGAAAGGAAAAATCTGGGAAACAGAATGGGGGGAGTAACTAGCAGCTGAAATAGAGCAAGTGGGCTTTCTCCATTTTCAAGTGCCTTTTCAAAGGCAGGGGGAGCTGCAGTCAGAAAATTGGTGGTGAAGCTGAGCTGAAAATCACAGTTCAAACACCCCAAGAAGGTGACATTGCAAAGGCAAAGGATGCTGTGTACAGAAGATGATCAGGGAGCTGATGAAAAATGTCTTTTCAAATTCATTTTCCTCAAGTCTGCTAAGCAGTAAATGGCATGTCTAGAGTTCCTCTGTAACCATATTACTTGATTTCATTGCTGTGGGAAATTATAAAGCTTCTCTTATCAGATAATGCTACTGCTGCTATCAAGTAGTGACAGAATGAGGCTCTTCACTTATACATATTACCCATGAAAACTTGCTATCCTGCACAGTTTTATGATCACTTGTTATTCTGTGCACTAATACTGTTGGAAGAGCTTGAAACTGTATTAAAAGAAAGTTACCCTTTTGGTTTATTAAAAATTCTTGTTATAGTCCTAACCTCATAATAGGTATTATACAGCTTCTACAAGTTGTGAGAAGTCTTTTCAACCTATGTTGTTTGGCTTTTATGCAAAATGTACCTAAAGGTTTCAGAAACCCTCCTCTTACTATTAGACAGTGCAATGTTAAATTTCGGATATTGTGCGAGGGGAAAAGAAAAGCAGGATCTAAGTTATTGCTCTGTCTGTCCCTTATAAGCAACATGGTTCCTGGCAGCTGATTAAACTGTCTTGCCTAGACATAATCAAATATTCACCCACCCCTCTTAGGTGGTGGTGATGATCATGAAAAAGTATTGGTGCCCTTCAGGAAAGGATTACAGGCCCTGCGTGAGTGGAGTTTTGCCAAGCTGGTTCCATGCACCAGAATGTAGGCTACAGCTTGCCCCACTTGGTGAGAAGAAGTGGACTGGAAGCTTATAAAACATTCTGGACTACTGTTTTCCTTTGGACTTCCTGTCTTCCATGCAGGCATGGCTATTCACCGGAGCATGGACAAAACCACTGTGCAAATACCAATGGCTAAGATGGCAAACAGCCAGTTCTAGCAACTACAGGGATGTTAAAATGACGGGTACTATATCCTTTACCCCCAAGGACATCACTTGACAGGCCCATAAATAACGAGTAGCCCAAGCCCAGAGTCAGTCCCTACAGCAAGGTACCATCAATACAGCAAACATAGCTGATTCAGTTCCATTCCCAGCTCTGTTATGTACCCAGTACGGAAGCTCTCCCAAGGGAACGATAAAGTTGTGTAATTCCACAATTTACATTTCCTCTCCCTTTTGTGATTCACGGTCCAAGTCCCTTTTAGATGTACCATGGATAGCAGCACAATAGTCTAATTATAGATAGTTCTATTTTTAAAACAAAATACATCAATACTGCTCAATGGAGAGGATGAAGTTTACATGCTAGGTAAGTATCTATCTTACAAAAAGCACTGGAAGTTAACTCATTGTTAAATATATATATATGCATAGATTTTGGTTTTGTTTAAATGAAATGGTTCTTGTTTTTCAGTGCAATAGTACCATACACCACTGAGTCAACAGTAACCGACTATGTGAGTTAGCCCAGGATGCTCTGACACAAAAGGGCTCAACACTTTCTGTAAGCCAGCAGCTCCCAATGAAATCAGTGGGAGATGTGGACAACTCAGTTCCTCATAGGACTTGGCCCATAATGCTTTGCAGTAGCGTGACAGACTGTACACCTCTGTTCACCAGGTTTACAAAAACTATGATGAATCTTGTACAAAGTATGCCTTGTGAGTTACTGTTTGAAAACTCATAATTCCCTGATCGTAACTGTCCTGCTATAATATGTTATACGTAAAGTTGTAAGATTCTACTGTATGATGTCACTAAGGAATATTCAAATTTTAGGGAAGCAGCTAAAACCAGTTCCTCACAGACAAAAGGAAAATGGACACCACTGCTGGTGTCAACCAAACCAATCATTCTTTGACTGGCAGAAGGGTGGGAGAATTACATTTGCATCTTGGCAGACAGACTTGCTGTCACCTGAATCCCAGCTGGAGAGGATTCTCTAAGAGGAGGAAAAAATAGAAAAATGAGGAACAGAGGGCAAATCACCTCTCCTCACTTTGTCTGCTCATGGCATTAACAATGTCTGGAGGAACTCGGAGTGGGAGAGGGGATCTGACTGAAGGAGTTCAGACAGTAAAAACATATGTGCTGCATCTAGACTGGCAAGTTTTTCTGCAAAAGCAGCTGCTTTTGCGGAAAAACTTGCCAGCTGTCTACACTGGCCGCTTGAATTTCTGCAAGAACACTGACTTCCTACTGTCTGAAATCAGTGCTTCTTGCAGAAATACTATGCTGCTCTCGTTCGGGCAAAAGTCCTTTTGCGCAAAGCTTTTGCGCAAAAGGGCCAGTGTAGACAGCTCAGATTTGTTTTGCGCAAAAAAGCCCCGATCGCGAAAATGGTGATCGGGGCTTTTTTTGCGCAAAAGCGCGTCTAGAATGGCACGGACGCTTTTCTGCCAAAGCACTTTTTGCGGAAAAGCGTCCGTGCCAGTCTAGACGCTCTTTTCTGCAAAAGCTTTTAACGGAAAACTTTTCCATTAAAAGCATTTGCGGAAAATCATGCCAGTCTAGATGTAGCCCTGGTGAGAAAAACCTTGGCTTTGAATTCGCTTAGCTTGATAAGTTTTAGGATACATCTACACTGCAAAGCTATTTCAGGATACTGGAGGAATCCAAAAATAACTACCCCCCCCCATCTACACAAGCTGCCTGAAAGAGCAAAATGTTTCCTGTGAGCATCTTCACTTTCCAAACAAGTCTTTGCAATGATAATTCTCTTACAACACATGGATTAAGACTCGCAGCTGCAGAGAACCAGCACCACAACTATGCACCACTTACATCCATTTTAAATTCTGGGGCTGTAAGCAGGTAAACTGGCCCACAGGATTTGTGCATACGGTGAATTTCAGCTGGAGAGCTAAAGGAATAAACAGCCGTTCCTGTCTGTCTCCCTATTTGTGGCATTCCTCAGGGTACAGTCTAGACTGTTGAACAGCTGGGTCCCCTCAGTTCTCAACCTAGGGTGCTTTTTACACTGCTTTTATACAGAAGTCAGAATTGGATACGTAGAAATATAAGGGTACGTCTAGACTACATGCCTCTGTTGCCAGAGGCATGTAGTTTAGGCTACCAGACATAGGAAAATGAAGCGGTGATTTAAATAATCGCCACTTCATTTAAATTTACATGGCTGCCGCGCTGAGCCGACAAACAGCTGATCAGCTGTTTGTCGGCTCAGCGCGGCAGCCATGTAAATTTAAATGAAGTGGCGATTATTTAAATCACCGCTTCATTTTCCTATGTCTGGTAGCCTAAACTACATGCCTCTGGCAACAGAGGCATGTAGTCTAGACGTACCCTTATATTTCTACGTATCCAATTCTGACTTCTGTATAAAAGCAGTGTAAAAAGCACCCTAGGTTGAGAACTGAGGGGACCCAGCTGTTCAACAGTCTAGACTGTACCCTGAGGAATGCCACAAATAGGGAGACAGACAGGAACGGCTGTTTATTCCTTTAGCTCTCCAGCTGAAATTCACCGTATGCACAAATCCTGTGGGCCAGTTTACCTGCTTACAGCCCCAGAATTTAAAATGGATGTAAGTGGTGCATAGTTGTGGTGCTGGTTCTCTGCAGCTGCGAGTCTTAATCCATGTGTTGTAAGAGAATTATCATTGCAAAGACTTGTTTGGAAAGTGAAGATGCTCACAGGAAACATTTTGCTCTTTCCAGGAGAAAGAACACATGTGCTAACCTTGAATTTCTAACCTTGTCATACTAGCATCGTGTTAACTAGAAATCACAAAACATACCATTGAAAAAAAAACCCAACAGGGATAAGTAGACTATATGTATATATATTTACATCTACATATAGAAACTTCTTTTCTTTGCAAATCGGAGATTCTATAAGCCACTGCCTGCAATAGCATCCATCCTATACATAATACTAGAGATGATTCTTAAGAGACTGAGGAGATAGGGTTATGAGGTGAGCCCATCTGTGTCAGCACCTTATCCAGCCATTGCAATGGTCCGTGCAGATGAATCTCAATCCAGCAGGGAGTGCTTGTAACGTCCTGGCGATGATATTCTGCTCCCCAGCCCTACAAAAATACCAAAGACCAAAAGGTGAGTTTCTTTTTATTGTAATTCCACCACTAAAAGTTTAGCTTCATTGCAGCCAGTGGGAAAGTGGCCAGCAACTTTAACTAAGCGGCTAACATAATACATTTTCCTAGGGACAACTTCTCCAACAAGTGAGTAGCATCAAGGGCCAGAGCTGTCTATTTATTTCAGTGAATTTAAGATTCTTGATTATGTGATTATCAGGGATTCAAAGTCTGTGGCTCAGACAGAAGTTTGGAAGATCAGACTCCTATAAGGGCCAATAATCCTATTCTAATTTACACTTATTTATAGGCTTTTCTGTCCCCCATCAACCACCTTCCACTACGTGGGATTCTGGCCTGCAATTATCCCTTGGGGAGAGGCTCAACAACTTTCTCATAACTGAGTTCTGGAGGACATGGGTTTCTCTCCACCCACCTTTCTTTTAATGCAGGGGGCAGGAGGTTCTTCCTCTGACTTTCCTCCAGGGTGAGGGATATTTTCGGCTTCATCCATTTGTGCATGTTCCCATTCTCTATCTCATCCTTCTTTCATCTCATGCTCCACCATCCTCATTCTAAGTCCCCAGTTCTCCCATGTCCCTCATTTCCTATCTCTTACATCAACCACATCCTCACCTTAAGATAAGGTAAAAGGGACATACACACAACTCCTCTCTGTTCCTCTCTGTGCCTGACTCTCATGGTACATCTACACTACATGCTTTTAGTTTGGAAAAAACCCTCTAAAATAGCTTATTTCAAAATAGAGTATCTGACTACAAGGCTACGGCTACGCCACACTTCATTTGCATAATTAACTAGCAGCTATTTTTGCGCAAGAGGCTTTTGCGCAAAAGGAGCTGTGTAGATGGCTCCTTTTTGCGCAAAAAACCCCTCTTGTGCAAGAGCAGTTCTTCCTGAAAAAAATGAAGAGCAGCTCTTGCGCAAGAGGAGTTTTTGCACAAAAACACCTGCTAATTAATTATGCAAATGAAACGCGGTGATATTCCATGCCGTGCTTCCTTTGCATAAGCTTTTCTGGAAGAAGGCTACAGTGTAGTCGTAGCCCAAATGTCCATCGAAATAGCGCTGAGTTATTTTGAAATAGAGTATCTACACCAATTAGAACCTGCATCCCATTTAAAGCCCCCTAGAAGCACTTCAGACAGGGCATCAGGACAGCAGTCACTTCCTCTAGCAGTTGCCTGAGGCTCGTGTTTAAAGGGACCCCCATCTATAGCCATATCTCAGGCTCTTCACCTTTGCCTACCTCCTGAGGGACAGCAAACTTTCCTCACTGCCTGCTCTGGTTGCCCTTGCAACACACCACAGCACTTCAACCATGGCGCCAAGCCTGCTGGAAAGCAGTTGCCAGTTCTTTGAACTGCTGCCACACCTCCTGGTGCAGTTACTGAAGGCTGCCATGTGGGACTGCAGGAACAGGGCCCGCCGCTCCCTGCAGGACACCTCCTCTCCTCTCTCCACATTCTGCTCATGCAGCACAGCCCCTCTCTGGCCCTCCCCAGCACACCGTGCAGCACCGCTTCTGGTGGGACCACATCATCATGGAGTGGTGGGGCGACCAGCAATGGCTCCAGAACTTCAACATGTGGAAGGACACCTTTCTGGAGCTGTGCGAGTGGCTCGCCTCTGCCCTCAGGTGATGGAACACCTATATGCAACCTGCCATCCCTCTCCATTAGCCGATCGCCATCGCTCTTTGGAAGCTCCCCATGCCAGACAGCTACCGCTCTGTCGGGAACCAGTTTGGCATGTGGAGATTGACCATCGGGCCCATGCTCATGCAGGTTTGACTCCTATTGTCCTAGGAGCTTGGTGAACTACTAGAATGGGGTTCCTTAGGAAAGGAAGCCCTCTCCTTAGAAGGTTTTTCAGTCCCAGCATCACAAAGCTCTGCTGGGCGATGGTGTAAGTAGGGATTGGTCTTGGTGCGTGAGAAAGGGGGTTGGGCTCGGGGACCTCCCGAGGACTCTGACAACCCTGTGATTTTATGTTTGTCGCCTTCTACAGGTGGCGAGGGCCGTTAACACCATCCTGATGTGCAGGGTTGTCATCCTGGGTGACGCTGACCTCATCATGGCCAGTTTTGCTGCCATGGGATTCCCCAACTGTGGGGGGACCACTGACAGCACCCACATCGCCATCCAGGCCCCGGATCACCAGGTCTCCAATTATATCAACTGGAAGGGGTACTTTTCCATGCTACAGCAGGCCCTTGTGGGCCACCGAGGCCACTTCATGGACATCAACGTTGGGTGGTTGGGAAAGGCACACAACAGCTGTGTCTTCCACAACTCCAGCCCCTACGAGAAGATGCACACTGGTACTTTTGCCCCCTGACCACACCGTGGGGACGTGGACACGCCCATGTAGATCATGGGGGACGCAGCCTACCTTCTGCTCCCCTGGCTTATGAAGCCTTACATAGGACACCTTGACCAAAGCAAGGAACGCTTTGACGCCACGCTCAACAGGGCCCGCACTGTTGCGGAGGGCACATTTGGACATCTCAAAAGGAGGTTCCGCTATCTCCTCACCCGCCTCAACCTCAGCGAGCGGAATGCCCCCCAAGTGGTGGTGGCCTGCTGTGTCCTCCACAATATTTGCAAAAATAAAGGCTAGACATTCCGGCTAGGGTTGGGGCCAGAGGCTGAGAAGGTTGCAAAGGCCTTTCAGCAGCTGCATACAGCTGCCATCTGGCAGGCCCATGAGGGGGCTGTGCGCATCCAAGAGGACCTGAGGAGAGTTTCAGCAAAGGCCACCTGTGAGACTCTCTCCTGGGCCTCCCCACAAAGGGCCTCTGCAGTGCCTCAGTCTGCCTTTTTTCTTCCCCTCCCCCTCCAATAAAATAAACAAGATTTTTTGTTTTGAAGCAATAAACTCTCTGTAATTTTTATTTGGGGTAAATATAACTGGGGAGGGACTGGGAAAAGAACCTGGGAGGGGAAGGAGGTAGAAGGGGGAGGTGGGGCTCAGGGATGGGACTAGAACTGGAGCCTGCCTTAGCTGGCCCCACTGACTTTTGTGTGGGGCCCTTGGTGGCCATTGGGTGGGGTGGGGACTAAGGAAGAAGCTGTAGGAGCAAGAACAAGTGTAGAGGGGGACTTGGGAAAGAGCGGGTGCAGGGGGAAGGCTGCTGGACAACTCAATTGTGGCGACCAAGTGGTTGGTGGCGGCGCTGTATGCCGTGCACATGCTCTGTGCCTCCTGGGACAGTTCCTGACAGATGGAGCAGTACAGCTCCCAGTCAGCACGGAGCTCCTTCAGGTCCACATCCAATCTCCAGTCCTACCGCTCAAGAGCCCGCTGTAGGAAACAGAGGCAGGCTATGTGTTCCCGCTCCAACCTCGCAGGGTTGGCAGCACCCGCAGATCTCATGCGGTCAGGAGGCAGGTGCAGGAGATGTAGCTCGCGCCCCACTCGCAGCTGGTCCAGCTGGGAAGAACAAAGAGAAGGGCAGTCATCCCAGGAGACACTGTGCATGAAGACTAGTCCTAATCTCTCAGCCGACACTGAAAGGTCTTGGGTCAGATGAAGATGATGTGCTGCGAGCAAGGCCATCTGAGGGGCACAGTTGTTTGGGATTGAAGGGGAACCTCACTACCTTTTCACTCCAGGGACAAAGCAGGCACGGGAATGTGCTGGACAGGCCGGGAGCCTGCAGGCAGGAGGGGGGTGATTGGGCAGCTTGGCTTCCCTCCATGCCATTCACACGCTGGGTCCAGCAGTGGTGGCATCCCACAGGGAGAGGACTGCTATCCCTACCTTCTGGAGGAGGCGGGGAGGCTGTTAGGGAGGTGAGTTTGAGCAGCAGATGCTGCTTGCAGGGGAGGGTGCTACTGGGGTATCCTCTATTTGTTCCCCCTGCTGGCAGGCTCCCCTGGCAGGGGACTGGTGTTCTCTGCCTCACCACGCTTGCCTGGGACTGGATGCTGCCCCAAGAGTGCAGGCATAGCCGTGTGCGGCACAGCTGCATGTCCCTGACTCCATCCTCCTTAGTGGTGAGAAGATGTCCCACCATGGGGTTGGGAGTAAGGCAGGCCTGTGCAGGAACCCCATGAGCAAGAGTGCCAGGTTGAGTGCAAGTGCAAGAGTGGCAGCCTCATTGCGGCTCTGTGCTCTGGACTGGCACTCCATATGCACAGGCTGTTGTGTGATCCCCAGGCCGAGAAGGCCGGGTGAGAAGTGCGCAGCAGCCCCTCGCTGCCCACTGCCTCCCCCCGTGTATGTCTAGGGAACGTAATGGAACTCACCTGATGGGCCTTCCCCAGATTTGTCTGATCCCTGGGCAATATCCTGGGCCCGGCGATACTGGTTCAAGTGCCTGGATGACCTTCTGGCTGGCTGGCATGGTGTTGGTGCTGGCCTCCTCGTCCTCCTTTTTCTCCTCCTGCACCTCCTCCTCAGCCACGCTCTCTGGGAAGCTGACAACAGGCGTCTCCAGCCCAGGGAGGAGTGACGTGGGGGACTGACACCACTCCCAGGCTCTGGTGGAGCTGGTCAAAATAGGGGCAGGTATGGGGTGCTGCCCCTGAGCACTGCGTTTCCTGGCCTTGGTATGGGCCTGCCGTAGCTCCTTCACCTTCTTGCGCACCTGTCCCTGGGTGCGCATGTGTCCCTTCTGGCCCAGTATGTCAGCCATCCAGCCGTAAATGTCCACATTCCTGCATTTGGTGCAGAGATCTTGGAGGTTTGCCTCCTCTCCCCAGACCTCAATGAGATCCAGGATCTCCACACTAGACCAGAAAAAGGCCTTCTTCTTTTTCTCCCCAAGCAGGGGCTTGGGAGCTGGCTGCCGGCTCATTTGCAGCTGTGGAGGGCTTGGTTGGAGCTCAGGGGTCACTCATGGCAGCAGCAAAAGCAGTGAAGGCTGCGGATGTGAGGCAAAGGGCTAGCAGGGCCTGCATTGTGCCGTAAGCAGATCCCCCTGTGGCTGCAGCTTTAAGGCCTGCAGGGGGAGGGGAACTATAGAGTTCTGACGAGTGTGGCCAGTGGCCAGCAGGGCAGCTGTGAGAAGCCCTGGAGGCCTCTTATTTCAAAATAAGCATTATTCCTTGTGAAATGAGAGTTACCCGTTCTGGAATAAGAAGCCTGTTACTTCAAAATTATTTCAAAATGAACAGGCTTGCTGAGTAGGCACGCATCCTATTTCGAAATAGTGTTAGTGTAGACGTGCTCCCAGAGCGCAAGGGGAGGGGATACCCAGAGGCCCCAGGCTTCTCAACAGCTCTCTACAGTGGATACTGCAGCATGAGCCCACTCTGCCTGGTGTTGCAGACATCCCAGGACAACGTGATAGGGTTAATAATACACAGCAGTCCTAGAGCAACCAGGACAAGCAAAAAGTCCATTCCATTTCTATAGGTGCAGAACTGAGATCCTATTGGGCAACTAACCACATAAAATAAACCACAACATTCAGTATCAAACCTAGTGGAGCTACTATGCCTAATTCCAGCCCAAACACAGAAGGGCCAAAAGACCTGTAGTAGGACTATATAGTACCTTGTCCTGCTGATTTCACAGAGTTAAATGACTTGAGAGATTGTAACACTAGCTCAAAGTCACACTTCTGGGCAACGGGAGAGGCAGGAACAGAACTCAGATGACAAAAGGACTAAGCACAAACTAAGATACTAGTCAACATGAGAGGGGTTGGCATGGGCAGGCATTGTTAGCGTATCAATGAGCATTCATACTGACATTGTATCTATGATGCTGCTAATCTGGAGCACTAATAGGTCTGTCATCTTAAAAGGGACATCTACCGTAAAATCGCAAGTATAATGCGCATTTTTTTCCCGTTTTTTTAGTGTCAAAGTCGGGATGCACATTATCCATAGGAGGGTTGTTTTTTTAAGTTTTTATTTGGCGGTTCCGTGGCAGTTAATTAATCGCTGGACACCAGAGGTTAAGTTGATTTTTATTAGCATCGATAAGCAACTATATACATAGTTTCAAAAAGGTAAGTTCAACAAATGAAATCAACACTGCAACGCAAACAAGCAAATATGTTAATTGATCTACTCATCTTTGAAGCCCTCAAATTCGCTTTTGTTAGACTCTTCCTCGAACAGATGAGCAATATCTTCCGGGATATAGCCCTTGACATATTCATCCAGGTAATACAAATCATTGTCATCTTCGCATACTGGTAATTCATCGTCAGCCGATTCATCGTCGCTCGGATCCATCCATAGGGCATCATCCTTGCTGTCATCTATAGCATTAGAGATGCTGCATTTCAGAAATCCCTTCCTTATGATAGAGGGATCAAGTTCAAGCCAGATATCCACTATCCACTGGGTAACATCTTGCAGCGTCACTGTTCACGTATGTCCACCTGCAGTAAATGAATGTTAACTTTCCAACAACCAGTTGTTCCATTTTCTGCGTGGTGCATCTTTCATTGGCTTGTTAACTGCCACATCAAGCGGCTACAACATTTTGGTCATTCCACCAGGAATAATTGCCAAGTCTGTTTTGTCTTGCTCTGCTGAAGCCTTTTCTTGACGGATGGCATATGATGACACCAAAATGCATCCAAAACTATGAGAGACTGCTTTCTCATAAGTCCACCTGTCCACTTTGCCCAAACCATCTGTAGCCAATCAAGCATTAAAGCTTCGTCAATCCAGCCTTTACGGTGAACACGCATGTGAATGGTGTTCAGGAATTTAACATTCTTTGGCATTGTCTTGCGCTTGAACACAATATAAAGAGGCAGCTTAATTCCGTCAGCCATGCAAGCAAGCATTACGGTAAACTTAGACTTTTCATGGCCTGTGGTAGCAATGGAGACAGTCTTGGCACCTTTCACTTCAAGCGTTCTGTCGCAGGGATTATCGAAATTTAATGGTGTCTGATCTGCGTTACCAATTAAAGTCGTAGCAGTGCTGCGTGCGTAATTTTATGATAAACTTTTGGAACTGTAGTAACTTGGTGTCTGAGTCCATGGGTAGCTTCTGTGCAATTGTTGTTCGGCGTCGGACTGATAAGCCATGGTGATTCACGAACTGATCAACCCCAGCCATACGAAGCTTTAAACCCAGCTGTGTTAGCGCATATTTTGGCAATGGTCAAAGCCTTCATTCTAACCTCCGCAATGCTAACACCACCACCTTGCTGTCTATGCTCAGCAATCCATTCAACCAGCTTGGCCTCCAACTCAGGATATGCAGTGCTTTTACCTCATTCAGCCATCTTCATCTGAGGCAGTGCTTGCAGGTGTTCTTTCTGCCATCTCCAAAGCCGAATGTTAGACTCTGCTATGTCATCAAATTCACAGCTGGCAGCTCTGTTGCCATGAGCCTCAGCATAGCTAACAACTTTAAGTTTTTCAGTGGTCGTGTAAGATCGCCGACAACTCATGTCATCCCAAAGAGAGCATGGAAACGCCGCGCACTATATACTCGTGCGCTCACGCATGATTACCCGGCAATACAAAAAGGCAAGACAAAATAAGGTAAAGTCGGGGTGCGCATTATAGATAAAAGTTCAGTTTAATCCGGGATTCTGACGTTTAAAAGGTAGGTGCGCATTATGCATAGGTGCACATTATACTCACGATTTTATGGGACTTTAATATGGAGTAATTTTTACAGAATGAAAATTCTGTAAGCTCTAGGGCCTGTAAAAAAGGCTCCTTTTAATCAGTTAGATTTGTTCTGAGCAGCAGAGCTGCTAGCAGGCTTGAATGTGAACATATTCCTGACATCAGTTTCTGTTAAAGTTCTGGAAAAAAAATTCATAAAGAAAACTCTTTCCTTTACATTGACCCCAGTTTATCTTCCGGATCTCCTGAATCTGTACAACTGGTGTGTTCTATTCTCCTGTCCTACAGTCCAGTCACTTTCTGATGAAAAAAAATGTCAGAAGTACCTACGCCCCTTACTTTATCAGCAGTACTGAAACTCTGAGGGAAAAAGTCTAAGTTTGCATACACATGACTAGTCTGGTGCATGAAGCAGTGACTAACACTGCAGCAAGCCAAATGTCAAATCCATCTTGTTGGGTGGCTGGATGGCTCCCTCTTGTGGCAGCCTAATCAAATTCTCAGGCTCTTTAATGGATCTGAGCTGAAGTTTACTACTATTCATGCTGCAAACTCAACCCTACTGTGCCTAAAGTGACAAGGAAATGCAACTTCTGCTTGTGTTTCTATCACAAAATGTTACCCCAATGCCCCTGCTGCTTGTGACTGTCCGGCCCTGGGTTCCAGAAGGAATTCTTGGCTCCTAGTACTAAAATGAAACTGAAAACTTAAGACGGAGGAGCTTTGTGAACTGGTTAGAAAGGGAGTGCAATTAAAGCTATGGACAAAATCCTAATCCTTGTTGTCTTGTGCCATTTGGGGTTGATGGACATGGCAGTGACTAAATGGGGGGTTCAAGAGCCAGCTTGCCAGCATGGGGCAAATGGCTCATGGGTTTGGAGGCAATGAATTCAGCACAACTCCATGCTGGTAACTCCAAGTAGGAGCAGCATAAGTACTGCTCAGCAGTTTCTGTCAACACCGGCCTACATGCATGGAGCTTGGGGCTTGGCCATGTCCCAGATGAGCAAGCTATGCAGTCCTTCGAGCAATGGAGCACCACAATAGGTGTATTTTCCAGATCCTCACCTTAGCACTGCAGCCTCAGGCAGTGTCATCCAAGAGCATGTGAACCAAACTGGGAGTCAGAAGAGCTGGGTTCTGTTCCAGATACTGACAAGCCAGGTGATTGTAGATGGTTTCATTTCATCTCAGTGCCTCACTTTTCCCAGGGAAATTGATACCCACCTTTGTAAAGAGCATTCTATAAATTCTTAGTATTATTACAATCAACAGCACACTGTTGTAATCCTAGCCAGATGCTGCATGGGTGCAAAAAAAAATGAGTATACCATGCCTCCCAAAGCAGTTTTTCAAGGAAGGCGTAAAAATGAGCAATGATGTTTATCTCTTGGAAAAGACTGGAAATTGACCTCTCACGCGTTGGTGATAGGAATCCAAAAATGGGGATAGTGCTTACAATAGTTCCAACAAAACAAGATGATAACATGGGAGCTGTCTGTCTGTTCAGCATGAAAACACAACAGTGTTCCCTGCCATTTGGGTTTGATTCCAGATAACACATCAGAGAGCGCGCCAGTGAGTTACTGAGATAATGAAGGTGTTGCATGCACTTCCTGAACAAACAGGCCCATTGATGGCTTCCACTAAAAAAAGAATGCTATTTTCACTACTGATACTTGAGGGCTACGTCTACACTGGCCCCTTTTCCGGAAGGGGCATGTAAATTTCACTAGTCGTCGTAGGGAAATCCGCGGGGGATTTAAATATCCCCCGCGGCATTTAAATAAAAATGTCCGCCGCTTTTTTCCGGCTTTTAAAAAAGCCGGAAAAGAGCGTCTACACTGGCCCCGATCCTCCGGAAAAAGTGCCCTTTTCCGGAGGGTCTTATTCCTACTTCAAGCCCATTATTTTGAAATAGCAGGCTTGTGGTAGCGTGGATATTTGACTTGTTATTTTGAAATAAGGGGAGTTGAATCCCCTGCTGGCCCCATGCTCCCTGTGGCATTTCAAAGCAGCAGTGCCGCATGGAGTCCAGAATCAGCAGGGGAGTCCCCAGATGATCCGAGGCTCCATGTGGTGCTGTCGCTTTGAAACGCCACATACAGCCTAAGGACTCCCCAGCTGGCCCTGGGCTGCAAGTGGCACTGCCACTTTGAAGTATCCTTTCTCTCTCCCCCCTCCTCCACTTGCTGCCTCCTTCTGATAGAGGAAGCAAGGAGGTGGGGAAAGGGGGAAGCGACTAGTTGTTCACATCCCTATTACAAACAATATCATCTAAATTGGGGGAGAAATGCAGAGAAAAACTTCCAGTGCTCTGTGGTTAGCGTTTTCCCAGAATTGCAATCAGGAGCTCAAGTGATACTGGGAGAGGTTTGTTTACCCACCTGAAAGTTACCATTCTGCTCCTAGTCAGGAGAAACTAATGCAGGGTGGATGGGCCTGTGAGGTTATAAATTGTAATTGTCAATGAGAGGGCAAGTTGCTGGAGCATTCAAAAGGTTTTATGTTCTGTCCCTTGCTCCTAGGCTTTGCTGTTTGTCACTTAGGTTGATATTTCTAAACATGACTGCCTAAAGTCAGGCTTTTATCTCACACCTAAAAAGCTGTGGGCTGGTTTTCAGAGGTGCTAAGCAATTCAAAATTCAAGGATATTAAATGGGAACAATGAGCACTCTGAAAATCATCCCACTTTTATATAGGTACCTAACTACAGATTATGGAGTCTGACTTTGGGTACCCCTAGATGTGAAAATAGAGACTAGGGCTAGCGTCTCCTCTTGTTGGGAAAGGGCATTGAGAAGACAGTAAAAATAAAAACCAAACAAAAACCCACCCAACTCTAGCAGAATGTGATATGTTTCAAGTTTCTGGAGAGAAGTTAGACTAGCTTTAGACCTGCCCAAGGCCCAGAAACGCAAGTTTCTGTGGTCAACAGTCTCCTCAAGCCAGTGAGCAATGGGCAGCGGACTTCATATTGATCATAATGAGCTGTTAATCTGAACATGGCTGGGACAGATGAATAGCTTTGAGGAGATTCCCTTCATTCCTTGCAGCGAGAGATCAGAAATGTGTCAAACACGTTTAATTCCCATCAAGTTCAGCTGAGGGTTTTCGGCACCTCATGGGTAGGTCCATCACTTTCATTCTCGAGCAACTACAGACTGAATTGTTAATTTACATTAATACATATTTTTAGATTGACTGCTAGACAAAATGTGATTACAAACAACAACACAGTTAACTAATCCCAGGGATTTCCCTTTCCCTTTCAGAAATGCAACAGAAGAAAAGGAATCCTTACTTTAACAAAGCTCATTCGGATAGTGCACATCTTGGTCAGCTCATATACCACCTCGAAGCCATGGTTGACTGACTGGGCAAGCAACTGGGCAAAAAGCTGGTTGTTGAAAATCTTGAGGCTGCAGCCGCTAGGAATCTTGCAGACAGTGGCTGGGTGGAAACCATGCTGATAATTACAGTTGCGGCTCTGTACAAAAATGCTGCTGTCACTCACGCATTCTGCATACACCTCACCACCAACATAATAGAGATGGACACCTTGGAAGGACAAAACAGAGTTATTTGTCTGTAATCCTTAACACAGACTATATCAGGGCTTTACACTTTGGCTACTTTACTTTTGTACAGTGTAGCAAGAGGGCGTGGCCTCCTGTGGAGATTGATAGGAAGGTGGGAGGAGCCAAGACATCCATACCCAGCTCGACAGAAGCAGAGGAGTAGGACAGGAAGCATAAAATGTGGGCCCTGCAGCTCAGTTGGGCTAGAGCTGCCAAAGGAGACAGAGAGCTCTCACCTGCTGCTAAAGCAGGAGCCTGAAGAGAATATCGACTGTGCTAACTTGCCAGGAACCCCAGAGCTGCTGGCCAATGAGGATGCTGAGGAGATAAGGGGGTTGTTGCTGGCAACATATCTTGGGGAGATGGAGGGCAACCCCAGACACAGATACACAGCGAGGGGAAGGGTAGGAAGTAGCCAGGAATACCTGACCATAGTCTAGTTGTGTTATTGCTTGAATCCAGGTCAGCATGTTTCAGCTGGATCCCTGCTACTGACACAGTGACGGAACCAACATTAAGGCCCTCAGCTGGAACTCGGTGGAGTAGCATGGCCCCAGGTTACCCAATCCTTGCTGACAACCACACCCCAGGGTGGCTGCCTTTCCACCTTAGGCCAAGACACCTGCATTTGTCTGCAATTTGCAGGAGTTAGGAAGTCAGCCTGTTTGGTGCTCCACCCTGCCTAAGGGCCTGAGGTCACGAATATAGTGAAATGCCAGTAAGTATTTCCATTTCTCCAATATGCATTCACTGGAGACAAGCTCCTTTAATGTCAGTCATCTCTTCAGATCCCTGAGATCACACACCTTAGAATCCTCCAGATCTTTTTGGTACTACAAAGTAAACAAATAAGAAGCCTCACTTCTGTGTTTAAAGTTTGACTGCTGAAACTGGACCAGTTTCCAGTAGATAATTACACTGTGCTCTGGATCGTTACTTGCTTTGATGTGTACAATTTCATGCTGGTACATTAGATAACAATTCTATTACATAGTGACCTAATTTTGTTTACTTACTGTTCTCTGGTAACAGAAGAGATAGCTGTTGTATCAATTTCATCTGTCTATCTGACATGCTTTAGGAACTCCAAATCTATGGATCTATCCTGCATTTAGGGCATTTCCACACCTCTAGAGCATTTCCCTCTCAAACTGGATGAGTAGGGAAATGCAGAGAAATTAAGAGTCTCTGGGAGGAAATTAGCTTTCTTCCTTTGAACAGATTCCTATTGTAAGCTTCTGGGATTTTTAATCAATACAGACAGATCTTCAAATCTGATCAGATGAGAACCATTACTGTCTACCGCCTTTTCTTCTTGTTCTGGAGATCATTCACTCTCTTCTTTTGGCAGAAACTCATAGGAGCTAGCTTCCTTAAATGAGAATTTTGACCATGAAAGGCCTAGCAATTGCTGGTTATGGATCTACAACACACTGTTAGAGTATATGTATATACATTCTTTGTCTTTACTTTTTAATAAATTGGAACTGGAGGACTACCTCATTCCCAATGTTGAAAAAATAAAATATTAGCGATTTGAGGTTTCATGAAGGATCACAACATCTTAACATAACTGCTCCAAAAGGACAACACATAGAAAGTTGGGGGGAATGGCATCCCTGCATTTGGCCTCCAATTTGCAGGTTTTTTTACTAAGCATATACAATTTGTTACCTGGCTTAGGCCTTTATCATATTCAATCAATCATTCAGTCTCAAGACTGAACTAGAGAGCTTTAAATTAGTGTTTTGAGACTGGGAACTCGGTAGGGTCAGGAGTTGAATTCTGTTAGACCCTCATTTTAAAAAAATACAGTTTAGAATGATGATTGTTGCTTAGAATGATGATTGTTGCTTAATGAAAGCTTCTGACTGAGACTTACTACTGCAACGAAATACTTTACAACCTGAAAAATCTTGAAAGTACTTTGCGTCTGATTCAGTTTAGCTGTTTTATACCCTCTTGCAGAAGCCATTCCAAGGAAAGGGGGAGGGGGAAATCAATAACTGAACACTTCAGCATTTTGAGGAGGCGGGGAGTGCCCACTGCAATAGAGGCAGGGGGGGATTATACCAACAGGGTTATTGGTCATTCTGGATTCCAATCCGGAAAGGAGACATTGTTTAAAAGACTAGAATTCTCTCAGAAAAACTGGAAGCAGAGGTTGGTAGAACTTATTTTTCTGTGTCACAGCCAAGCTTGTGTGTCACATTTCTTCCCTGTTTCTGTTGTTACCCTGCCAATGCATCAGTGGCCCATACCAAAGCTTTTATAAGACTAAATGACAATATAATTTCTTGTACTTTGTTTCAGGTCTTATAAGTGTTATTTGGACTCTTAACTACTTAATTCTCAAACAACTAATGGGAGTTGGAGAAGTGTTGTTATTTCAGCTTTACAGAGGGGTGGGAGACCAAGATACAGAGTTTCAGTGACCCATCCAAGTGACTTAGTGGCAGAGACAAAAAATCAGGAGCCACTGGCTCCCAGTTTGATCTTCAATCATTTCATGACAATTGCTGATTCAAGGCAATGACAGCAAAGAGGACCAGTGATAAAACAGAAGAGAATTTGCATAAAATCCACAAAGGCATTCAAGCTTCAAACTTTTGTTGATTTCAGTGGAAGTTAGGAGCCTGTTTTAACTGAGCCTTGGCCATGTCTATGTCTATAATAGCTAGCTTACAACAGCACAGCTGTACCCATGCAGCTGCACCGCTGTAAGAGTGCTTATATAATTGCTCTGTATGGGTGGGGAGCGCTCTTTCGTTGACATAATAAAACCACCTCCACAAGAGAAGCTCTCCCGCCAACGTAGAGCTTTTCACACTGCACTTCAGTTGGTAAAATGACATTCAGGTGTGTGTAGACATAGCCTTAGTGCTTACAGGATAAGATCAGAGCTGCATGTACTTAGTCCCAATTACTCAGATCCCCTCACAGAAAAATAATAAAAAAGAAAGGTCTATGATCTATGAAGAGGGAGAGGTTAAAATAAAACATCAAGTAAAGTTTATTTTGAGAAATTTAAAACTGATGATCCACTTGCCTGGTCACAGAAGTGGAAGGAAGATATTGTTATTAGCTGGGGGATGCCTTGGTTTGGGTTGAGTTAACCTCCCCATGCCCCTCCCCCGAGATTGATAGGCATGTTGATTGACGAGAAAGTTCCCATCTATGAGCATAAACCCCCACCAAAAATACAAGGAGTGTGTGAAGTCAACAAAAACTGTTGGCTAAATATTTTGGGGGGAAGGTATATATGGAGGAAAGAGGGAAATGACAGAAGTCTGAAAAAGTAAAGGACGCACACGCAGGGGCAAAAAAGCAACATGAGCAAACAGCAGCCTATGAACATCATGTCCCTGGAAAAAACTGGGGAGAGTTTTTGGGGCTGTTGACTAAGGCTTGGAGCTGTAAACTAAGGAACTGCTCTCCTTTTCTTTTGTGTTCCTCCTGTATTCAGAGGACTTTGTACATTCCTAATAAATAAAAGAGACTGCAACAAAGAAAATACCAGAATCCATCAACTTCTACTTCCAGCTGGAACATCCCCAGGACTCTAGAACATGACTAGCCATTTGGATTGAGAAGGGGCCACACTGGTGCCAAGAGTGAGCTGGTATTTCTCCTGAACCAAGATGGAATAACTAATGGGCATGCTTTCAGAAATAAAAAATGGCCAGTGGGATTTCAAACAAGACTGAAAACCAGAAGTGAAAATTTCACAAAGGAATTTAAAACGGGACATGAAGGCTTCACAAACTGAATTACAGCAGCATCTGGAGGATTCCCAGAAGGCGCTGAGGGCTGTCAAATGTTTGCTGGAGCAACAATCACACAAAGACCAGGCAAGCTGGGATGTCCAGATGCAAAACTCCCAGAGAGGAAAGTCAAGACAGATCAAAGGGGTGATCAGCAACTTGGCTGTTCCAGACCAGAAGTTTCCATTAAATAGTGGAGATTGGGCAAGCTTTGCTCAGTTTGGATCTTACTAACAGATGAGCTGCAGCAAAAAGCAGTCTCTGATTCATCTTGAAGGAGGAATGGCAGTTTGGGACTTTGATGGGGATGTGCCCCACTCCAAGGCAAAAAAGACACCTCAACTGCCCATCATTGAGCAGAATAGTTGCATTACAGGAGGGGCAAATTTTGAACTCTAGAGATTTTGTTTCAGCTACAGCAGCTGAGTCTTGGTACCACAGAAACTTCAAAGGATTCCAACCAAAATATTTTAAAGCCAGCAGGTGTAAGAGAAAAATGACAACAGCTGTGACAGTATAAATTGGGTCTGCCAAGCTCAGACACACACTCTTGTTCCAGCTGCGGAATAGGAAGGATCTGACTGCTAGAAAGCTACAGAGGGGACCTGAGACAGAGCACTGTTGGGGAAAGGCAGGCAAAGTTGGGGAACTCTGGATTGACTCACTTCCCAGGCTGCCAGTCAAATACAGGGGCCTGAGGTGTACTAGGGCTGCAGGGAGGCTGCCAGGGCAGGGGAAGGCAGCAGATCCACACCCCCTTGCCAATGACAAGTGGCCATTTCAGACTGTAGTTTGCCCCTGAGGTAAGAAGTTAGATGATGACTGGCATTGGGTCACTGAGGCAAGGTGAGTATCGTGAACTGGGGATCCCTAGGAGGGGAGGATCCCAGAATACAGGGGCACTGCTATGGGGAAGAACCACAAGGAAAGGCGCACCATGGGCTGGGAGAGACATGGAGCCTGACAAGGGGCAGAAGGCAGGTAACTAAGGGCAAGACACTGGCCAACAGGGGGCGCTCCAGGGCTAAAAGAGCTAATTCCTGGACAGTCAAACAGGAGGCATGGAGCAAGCGAGTGCTCAATCCACTGTACTGCCAGAGGAAAAAAAAAAGATGAAACTTTAGTGACGCTACCTAAATGGATAGCTCAGCTACTTCGTGTGTCATCTGTCTTCATCTGCTTTTTGGAGACAGAAAAACAGCAGCAAGGCCCTCAATCATTATTTTCTTAGTGACATTTCAATGGCAATACTCTCAGTTGCAAGAAGTTCAGGTCAATACAAATAAAACCCCCCACATATTTCAAAACTTTTCTCTAATTTGGTTTTTAATTCTGGGTTCCACATAGGCCAAGTAAATAACCTGTGTAAAGAGTTACCCTCTGCTCGGTAAAAAATCAATACCTCATCTAATGCTTCAGAAATAATCCAAACATGTGGCTTTACACTCATGTTGGTTAGGTTAGGTAGATAGAAAGACAGACTTTTTTAGTTCTAGGCCATGGATGTTCTTCCAAACCATGTTTCTTACCCTTTCCTATGTGTCGCCTGGTGTTTTCTATAGTAGAATTCCTGTTGACATTGGAGAGCAGTCCAAGACAGAATCTGTTCCTGTTATTTGAAGGATCTGTGAACCCATCTATAAGAATACTCCGAGAAGAAGCCTGGAAAGTCTCTCCTACCCGGTTGTTGAGTTCATAGTAGGCAACTGAGCACCAGTGCTGGGGTTCCTCATAGCAAACAGGTCGAAAATCTATAGGAAATAAAACAAAATATATCAGGGGCCGGGGTCTCAGAAATGCTTGTTTCTCTAACCCAACTCTCTCAGTCCACAGTCGCCATCTAATCAGTCACTATTCAAGAAAAATTGGAAGCTGCTGTTGACATTGGTTTACTGACTAGTGCTTCCAAGTCTGCAGAGAACATTCCAGTGGGACAACCCTTATGTTTAAAATAGAGCATATGCGTAAATTCCATACTGCACTGATGCCTAATCACCTTCTTTAAAGGCTGAGTTAGCTTTGCAAAGCCTGAGCAGTTGAGTACTGTATCTGACAAACAGGAGCTAGGAATGAGCAAACTGGTTCCGTTTTACAAAAAAAAGTGAGCTAAGCCTTCCTGCAACATGCAATTAAAATCTAACCCCTAGCTAGGAGGTTTTGCACACCTCATCTCTTTGTTTTATTTTTCATTTTCAACACACCTTGGGATTGCCAGTTTCCAGATGAGAATGCAGGCAGAAATTCCAACATGCCACACAAAAGGCCATTGTTGCTGGAACCTCAAGTTTTGTAGATTTAAAGTCTGCATCAGGATCCACTTGGGTGCTTATTTGAACATAATCTTTGAACCAAATCTTATTTGTCTCACGAGCATTAACCTATAAACATGCCATGTCCTTGTGAAACCCAAAAAGCAGTGAAATCCACTCCTGCTGTGAAATGTACAACATATTTCCCACTGAGAGTGGCTATGTAGGTAGCCAGCAAAGATCAATGATGTCCTTAATACTTCCGGAGTATTTATATGCAGGGGGGAGGAAAGAGAAAGGGTGATGGAAACCTGGTGGCTGTCAAATGTACCCATACATTCCTAGCATGGTTACTTCCATCCTTCTTCCCTTCCCGTTGTTTGATGCATGCACTTGTTACTTCTTGTCTTTAATTGAGAATGCCAGCTTGGGGAGAAGGGGGCTGTCCTTTAATACGTGTTTGTACAGTGCTCAGCACAGCAGGGCCCTGACACTAGCATCTGTGTAGTACTGTAACACAAGGAGTAACTGCACTCAGAGCAGGCCACAGGAAACCTGAGCAGGGGGATTCCTCATGCCATAGATTCCCTGGGACCATAGTCAATACTGCAGCCCAAAGGCCACAGAAAGAGGAGGTCACTCACCTTGAGCGGTAATAACGGTTCTTCAAGATGTGTGTCCCTAATGGTGCTCCACTGAAGGTATATCAGTACTAGAGATGCTAAATATCAGTTAGCTGACTAGTCGATTAACAGCCAGTGTGCTCTGGCCCCACTCCCGAGGAGCCCCCGGCACTCCGCACTACTGCCTCTCTATAAGAGGCAGCAGTGTGGGATGCCAAGAGGGAGCTGGTTCACGAGGGAAGCCAGTTTAAAAATCAAACTCCCGTCACGGACTGCTGCCTGTCCAGGGGGGTCGGAGATCTCAGACCTGGTGCGAGTTGGAATTGAGCCAGGCTGTCGGCCCACCTGGCTCCTAATACACTTAAATGCAGAACTGCAGCAGGGGTAGGTCCTGGACCTGGCACAAGCCAGGACTGAGCCGGGCTGCTGGCCAGCCTGCTAAAAAAAATGACTGGTAAGGGGGAGGAAGGAAAAATGCATGTAGTCTATAGCATTAACCTATAAGCTTTTGCTTATGGGTTATCCACCTTAATCTGTACCCCTGGGTCTCTAATAGGAGGTTTTAGGTCTGTTCAGCCTGCGCGAGTGCTCTCCCTCCCTTGTGGTCTGCTTCCAGGCTTTCTAATGCGGCATGGGCGAACCCTGCTTGGTTCCTACTGAGCCTCATACTGAGAACTCCGAAGTCAAGGGGGGAACAGGGCAGGTTGTGAACAGCCCACAGGGACATGCTGTGAATGAAAGAAAGTCCTTAGTCCTATCCAAGTAGAAAGTTAATGCTCTTCTAACATCTAGCACAAAGAACTTGTACCCTTCAAACAGGAGTTCCTCCACTGTCCACTGTTATCTGCAGCTCTCTGGACAACACTGGAAGGTGTAACAAGGAAGCCCACCTCATTCCAACTGCTATGGAGACTGAGCGGGCCACTATATCAGATACGTCCAGTGACATCTATAGCACAGTTCTAGCTACCAACTGGCTCTCTCTGAGAGTGGCCCGAAACTGCTCCTTCTGCATCTCTGGTAGATGTTCCACAAATGCACTGATTTTTCCATAATTAATAACATCATATTTGGCCATTACAGCTTGCTAATTTGCAATTCAAACTGCAGCATTGCCAATGAATTCACCTTTCTCCCAAAGAGATCTAGACTCTTCCAATGTCGATTGTATGGGGTTAAAATAAAAAGTCTGCCTCTTTGGTAGGGATGTCTTGCACCTGCCTGCAAGAAAGCTGACAAGAAGGAATGGAGGCTGGTGTCTGCCTAATGACTGGGAGGTTCTAGAATCACTTCGTTAACCGGGTGGGCAATTCTGGACAAGAGGCAGTGTGCAGAATATTCACCAGTTTGCAATGCGTCTGTCACTTGCTGCAGATGAATTTGCAGCTCCTCTGTCACCCTCTTGATCTTAAGATCATCACCTAGGGATTGAGGAAGGGGCTTGGGATGTTAAAAAGTGGGCAATTGGGTAAACATGTAACCACTGAAATTGTGGTTACACACACCTGCAGCGTGGGGCGGCAGCCAGCTCCCTGCGGTGCTGCCTCTGTATCTGCTATTGTCTCTGCTGCGTTTACTGGCTCCCATCTGCCACCCTGCTCCCAGGGAACTGGCTGCCACTCTGCATTGCTGCCTCTGTATCAAAGGCAGCAGCAGGTATTGGCTCCCGGCTTGCTCTCAGGGAGCTGTCCAGGAGCCTGCGTGTAACCATTCATGGTAACTGATAAGCCCAGGTTTATCAGTTAACCATGTAAACTGTTATCCTGTTACATCTCTGGAGGGGGTATTACAGCCTCATCAGGGGAAGAGGAG